AACCCTCAGCGGGAGCGCCGCCGCGCTCCTAAGCGGTGCACTGTAGCAGTGCGCCACCGGGCCGGCCCCACCTTGAGGATTTCTTATAGGGCAGGTCATGTGATGGTGAACTCCTGCAGTTTTTGTTTGTCTGAAACACACACTATTGTTACCTCATTTCTGAAGGTTAGCTTTGCTCAGTATAGCATTCTTGGCTGGCAGTTTTTTTCTTTTAGTATTTTGAATTTAACATCCCATTTTCCTCTGGGTTCTAGAGTTTCTGTTGAGAAGTCTGCTGTTAGTCTGATAAGGGCTCCTTTATAGGTGACGATGTTTCTCTCTTGCTTCTTTTAAGATTCTCCCTTTGTCTTTGAGCTTTGCCAATTTGACTATAATGTGTCTTGGAGAGGATTTTTTGGGTTGAATCTGTTGGGAGGTCTTTGAGCCTCCTCGATGCAAAGGTCCACGTCTCTCCTTATGCCTGGAAAGTTTTCCATTATTATTTTGTTGAATAGGTTTTCCATATCTTTTCCTTTCTCCTCCCCTTCTGGAAAACCCATGATTTGAACGTCTGTGCATTTAAGGTTGTCTGCTAGCTCTCTTAGATTTTCTTCATTTTTAAAACTTTTTCCCTTTTTTTTTTTTTTTGTCTGCCTGGGTTATTTGAAAAAGACTATCTTCAAGATCAGAAATTCTTTCATCTGCTTGTTCTAGCCTGCTGCTAAGCTCTCAGTTGTGTTTTTTATTTTGTTGAATGAATGTTTCGGTTTCATGAGTTGTGCTACATTCTTTTTTAAAGTATTAATCTCTTTGTAAATTTCTCCTTCATATCATGGATTTTTTTCCTTGTTTCATAATATGGTCTGAATCTTCTTGTATCTCAGTGAGTTTCCTTAAGATTGTTGCTCAGAATTCCTTTTCAGTCATTTCAAGGGTTTCCCGCTCTATAGGGCCTAGTATTTGAGAATGACTGTATTCTTTTGGTGGTGTCATATTTTCCTGGGTTTTCAAATTCTAGTATCTCTATGTCAATACATCTGGTAGAGCAGTTGCTTCTTCTATTACTCTGGAGTGGGCTTTGAGGAGAGAAAAGTCCTCTTCTTTTTCTGATCTCCACTGGTGACTTTCCTTGTGTCAAGCAGGTTGCCTGTATGGTGGCTGTGGCATTGAGCTACTTTTGTGGCAGCGGCTGTGTTGGGCTACCCACACAGAAGTGGTGTTTTCACCCAGGGTGGGGGGTGCTGCCCTCAGCTCCTGCATAGGACCCTGG